CACACACACACACACACACACACACACACACACACACACACACACACACACACACACACACACACACACACACTTTTGTTTTTCTACACAGGTAGGGACCTTGCATTGACTTCCATTCATTTTCCAGTCATTTCTACAGCCGACCTCTGACCCCTGACCCTAAACCTACACAGTGTTTTGCTATAAATTGTCAACACTACCACAACAAGACCACAAGATAAAAGGATATTACATTTCACATGTCATTCAAATCATTTTTATTTATAACAAATGATGGAGATGCAGGAAGTAGGTCAGTTAGGCAGCTTGATTTTCACGACCTCATGTTGGGTAAACCCACTCAAAGACAAATTTTTGTTCCAACAAATTATTATACTATGTTTAGTAATATTGTTTTCATGTTAGGATAACAGTGTTGGAGGTTGTAAATATTATGTACAACAGTAAATGTACCTTTACTACTACTAGGCTGAACCGTGTAGGTCTATATCATCAGACCAGTGTTCTGTCCAGTCAGCTCACGTTATGTCCCGTAGTTTATGATTAGAACATTAACATGTTCAGTGGAGGAACTAAGGATTTGAACCCTTGATGATTTTGCAAGTTTACCCACTTACAAAGACATGAACACTCTATAATTTTAAGGGTAGGTTCATATAGAGAGATCATATACTAATCTTTCTCTGCAGGTTAGGTTATGTAAATAAATTTATATAATTTATACAATGAGATTTTCTGGATTGTTTTTATTCTCTCTCCCACTGTTAAAATGAACCTACCCTTAAAATTATAGACTGTTCATGTCTTTGTAAGTGGAAAAACTTGTTCAACCTGAATATTAGTGAAACTGAATGGAAATTAAATGCAATTGAATTTGTCATTATTAMTTTTAAAATAGACAGGTAATAAATGTCAATTTTCTACAAATTAGATTTCCAACTGTGGTAGAACTAATACTTTTACGTTTAAGCAAGTAATTCATGACATCCTTTAATGACCTAGGTTTTCATGACATGCTGTTCATCTGCAGACAGAATGATTAAAGTCAGAACAAGATTTGCTAACAACAATAATCATTCTTAGATATCACTTGTGTTTATCTTTGTGTTTTCCATTGACCTTGTATCAAATCTTGCTAAGATGACAGAATGGTGTTTGTTAATATATATATATACGGTTAGTTATATATAATGTATATATAATTGGTATATGAGGCCTCTGGAGACACAGTGAGTAGTGTGGAGAGACTGACAGAGAGAAGCAGAGGCACAGAGACAGGCCAGGTTGTTCTCTGTGTTTCCTGTTGTTGTAATAAAACTCAGCTGATCATCTCATGAAGTACCTTCATTCTTGGACCACGTATTTCTGTCTCTGTTAAATAAATATTACCATAACACAACAAACAAATAAAATTGGAACTGTACAAACTGTGGGTCAAACAGTATCCATGTCTGATGGTTATCTTTCATTTGAAATGCATTAGCAACACCTATAATAAAAATGTTCCTAGACCACTTATAAATGTATCTCTTGGCAAAATACTTATTTTTACATAACACAGTATCAGCAATTTCCTCAGCTTTAATTTAAGACTTATTTTATAGTAATCAGTTAAGAAATAAGGGCGCTACGAATATGTTTGTGATGAACATCCCTCACTGGAACTGTATGGTTTTGTTGACATAGTAATGGTGCCTATAGAGACTACAGTGGCTAATAGGCAAAGTCCAGTCCAGTAATAGATGTCAATGGTCACTATAATGTAGCAAAAACATGTCCACACACTCAAACACACTAAGAGCATCTGCTGTGTTCATGCACGGCAAAACAAAGACCAGCTGAGGAAAAGAATGACCTCTAACAAGAAAAGATCTTTTAGTTTTCTGCCTTTTTAAATTTGGTGTACCATCATGATGTGTAATGTCATGAGATGTACCATTATAAGATGTACTGTCATTAATAGTACCAACTTGAGATGTAACATCATCAAATGTACCATCATGGTAAATGGTAAATTGACTGAACTTATAGAGCGCTTTATCAAGTCCCTCAGGACCCCAAAGTGCTTTACACTTACAGACATTCACCCATTCACACACTGATGATGATAAACTACATTGTAGCCACAGCTGCCCTGGGGCACACTGACTGAGGRGGGGCTGCCTTACACCTGCGCCACCGGACCCTCTGACCACCATCAGTAGGCAAGGTGGGTGAAATCTTGCCCAAGGACACAACAACTGAAATGGCTGGAACGGGGGACCGAACCAGCAACCTTATGTTATGGGACAACTCCCCTAACTACTCCTCTACAGCTGCCCCAGTTGAGAGATGTACCATCATGAGATGTAATATTATGAGATGTACCTTCATGAGATGTGCCGTCATGAGATGTACCATCATGAGATGTGCCGTCATGAGATGTACCGTCATGAGATGTACCATCATGAGATCTACCATCATGAGATGTACCATCATGAGATGTACCGTCATGAGGTGTACCATCATGAGATCTACCATCATGAGATGTGCCGTCATGAGATGTACCATCAGGAGATGTACCATCATGAGATCAGATGTACCGTCATGAAATGTACCTTCATGAGATGTACCGTCATGAGATGTACCATCATGAGATGTACCATCATGAGATGAGATGTACCGTCATGAGATGTACCATCAGGAGATGTACCATCATGAGATGAGATGTACCGTCATGAGATGTACCATCAGGAGATGTACCATCATGAGATCAGATGTACCGTCATGAAATGTACCTTCATGAAATGTAATATCATGAGATGTACCGTCATGAGATGTATCATCATGAGATGAGATGTACCGTCATGAGATGTATCATCATGAGATGAGATGTACCGTCATGAGATGTAATATCATGAGATGTAATATGAGATGCACTGTCATGGAAGTTAAAAGTCATGAACATGTGCTGATGTACTATCATGGTATTTGGCGTGTTATACTGTTAATTTAATGTTACTCTTCTTTGACTTTATTTTTGTATTTTGTCTCTGCAGATTCTGGGTTACGCAGATTACGCCTTCACCTCCATCTTCACTGTTGAGATTCTGCTGAAGGTAGATCTGTGATGACTGAATCAAGTCTGTTGAAGGCTCCTCTGGGCTGGTGCTAACTTCATCTCTCTTTGTTAGATGACAGTCCATGGAGCGTTCCTCCACCAGGGCTCCTTCTGCAGAAACTGGTTCAACCTGCTGGACCTGCTGGTGGTCAGCGTCTCTCTGGTCTCCTTCTTTCTGCAGTCAGTATCTACATGTTTTTTTGCCTGTACAGGTGTCAGAGTGCTAACATTCAGTCTGTAGGATCTCAGTCAGTAAGTCTTAGCTTTAAAACAGGAGAGTCTGTGACATGTTGGGTTGTCCAGCTGAGCCCAGAACCTTTTGTTTTATAAACCATCATGTGGTTCTGGTTCTTCTTTGTGTCTCCAGCTCCAGTGCCATCTCTGTGGTGAAGATCCTTCGAGTTCTCAGAGTTCTACGACCTCTGAGAGCCATCAACAGAGCCAAAGGACTTAAGGTAAGTTCCTGTTCAGGACACAACTCCTCTGTGACTGAAGGTGATGAGGAGTTTTTGGACAAGATGTTCTGATTTCAGCCTTAGACAAGTTGAAATTTAAACTCTCTTTGTGATGATAAGAGCTCCATGTTTCTTCTGTTGTTTTGCCGAATCCAGAACCAGAACAAGTTTTAAACCTCGAGGTCCATTCATAGACCTAACGTTTGATTGATGTTTGTGTTTGTCTTGCAGCACGTCGTCCAATGTGTGTTTGTGGCCATCAGAACTATCGGAAACATTATGATCGTCACAACTTTGCTGCAGTTCATGTTTGCCTGCATCGGAGTCCAGCTTTTCAAGGTTCGTGTCTCACTGCTGGTTTACCTGGGATTGATGGTCCAGGTCTTTAAGGTTCATGTCTCACTGCTGGTTTAACTGGGATTGATGGTCCAGGTCTTTAAGGTTCATGTCTCACTGCTGGTTTACCTGGGATTGATGGTCCAGGTCTTTAAGGTTCATGTCTCACTGCTGGTTTAGTCCTTATTTTTTATACCAGAGATCAGTCCTGCTGGAACCCTAAAGTCTTGGCACATTAGTGTGAAAATGTCTTGTCCTGCTTCAGGATTAGAAAAATTCAATTCAAAATTCAAAAAGACTTTATTGATCCCAGAGGGAAATTAGGCGGTGTTGTAAATAATTTAACTAAAGAGTTATTGTAGATGCTGATGCCTGTGGGCAGGAAAGATCTTCTATAGCAGTCTATATTACAGTGAAATTGAAGAAGCCTCCGACTGAAGACACTCTGTTTTACTATGACTGTCTGATGAAGACTGAACTGTTCTTTACTACAGATAAGACCTGAGACAAAACTCAGAAATGAAAAATCTGAAGTGTCTTTTGCTCATATATTGTCCAACAGGAAATACGTACGGTTCACTGTCCTCTGCATTCTGTTTCAGGGTAAATTTTACCGCTGCACAGATGAGGCCAAGAGCACTCCTGAACAGTGCAAGTAAGTCTGAAGTCACAAAGGCCTGTCAGATTTTGAAGTTTTGGTTCTGGTTCCTCATTGTGAGTGTTTTGGTTCAGAGGGACCTTCGTGGTCTACAAAGATGGAGACGTGACTCATCCGATGGTCAGAGAGCGGATCTGGCTGAATAGTGACTTTAACTTTGATAACGTGTTAATGGGGATGATGGCGCTCTTCACCGTGTCCACCTTCGAGGGCTGGCCTGCGTGAGTATCCAGACGCAAATCTTTGGCAGCACTTGGATCACGTTTGAAATGTTCAACCTTTGGGCCTTCAGGTTGTTGTACAAAGCTATAGATGCAAACGGAGAGAACTCTGGTCCCATCTACAACTACCGAGTGGAGATTTCCATCTTCTTCATCGTCTACATCATCATCATTGCCTTCTTCATGATGAACATCTTTGTAGGCTTCGTCATCATCACCTTCAGAGAGCAAGGAGAGCAGGAGTACAAGAACTGTGAGCTGGACAAAAACCAGGTACCAGGTCCAGTCTGACAAACCCAACATCAGAAAAACTCTACAGAACATGTAGCATGTTTTCAAGTTTCCTGTCAGACACGAGGACAATGTTTTATTTTTTCATCAGTTCATCCATCCATTCAGACTGCAACACATCCCAGTAAACCAGTCCCAGTAAACCAGTTCCAGTAAACCAGTCCTAGTAAAACCAGTACCAGTAAAACAGATCCAGTGAAACCAGATCCAGTAAACCAATCCCAGTAAACCAGTACCACTGAAACCAATTCTAGTAAAACACTTATAGTCCCATGTCAAATAGATGTTTACATGTTCAGCTCCTCTTTTCTTACTTGTAGTTTATTAATTAGCACAGTTTAGTGTTCATCTTAGATTTGTTAGATAGATAGATAGATAGATAGATAGATAGATAGATAGATAGATAGATAGATAGATAGATAGATAGAT